AACAGCGATCGCAGCTTCCCCAACCTTCGACCTTTGACCCGTCATGCCGCGGTGGGACCATCTTCACCTTGTGTAGCATCGCGGGTTCGTTCATGACACTTTTATCCGGACATCCGCAAAATCCACCGCAGGCAGGGGGAGGATCATTGAAGCAACGGCGAGATGGCCGACGACGGCGACTCTGTGTGCACGCCGCAAGTGGCGGGCATTGGACCTATGGCACCTGTCCTGTCAAGGACACAGTCCGACATGACAAGCCGCGGACCTTTGCATCGGCGACGTTTCCTGAACAAGTCCAGCAAACGAGCACTTTTGTTCTCCCCGGATGAGGGCGGCAAACGATCCCGATCCGCGACGACCGAGTCGGAGCGATCACCTCCGAGGCCGATAACTTCCAAAGGAAAGTTGTTTGATCGGGACGAATCATGTGAATGGAATGAACTACCGCCATCACTTGTTCCAACGAATTTGGAGCATCGCAGCCACTCGTGCCCCGGTCCGATGCCAACGCTGGAAGTTTACGTCCCGCTTCTCCCGTTGATCAAGTCAAGCAAACTCCCCGACTTGAACGTGATCTCTCCAGCCACCGTCCAGATGCTTCTCGACGGGTCATTCAACGACGTCCTGCATGGTTTCCACTTTATCGATTGCCGGTTTGACCACGAATTTGTCGGCGGCACCTTGCAAGGCGCCAAATCTCTCATGTTGCCACAGGACGTCGAAGCCGAGTTCTTCCACCCCAAAGCGTACCTCACGAGCAAACGAACGGCGCTCATCTTGTTCTGCGAATACTCTGCCCAGCGCGCTCCAAAGATGTATCGCTTCTCTCCTCCACCCCCCTCCATGACAACCTTGGATAGGGCACGGCACATTCGAAACCTGGACCGCCGTCTCCACGCCGACAAGTACCCGACACTACATTACCCCGAGTTGTACGTGATTGATGGCGGGTACAAGCACTGTTTTGAATCGCACCAGGTACGCTGTCGTCCCCCATCTCGGTCGCTTCCTCACACACTTCCAGGGCGTGTGCGCTCCACCCGCGTCGTATGTCGCCATGGACCATCCCGACCACGTCGAAGCGTGCAAGAAAGCACTCAGTGGACTGCGATCGAGCTGGAAAAAGCTCCGCACTCCGTCCAAGGCATCTCCAAAGTGGTGTTAATGCGGCCATGCTAATATATTCAACGTAAAACAGCGAGCTGGGGTTACTCCCACTGCCCCCACTCGTCCGTGGCAGGTGCCATCTTCCCTTCCGGTGCCGCCGCGGGGGCGTCGTCATCGTCGTCATCGCCCCAATCGACGACATCCTCGTCATCGATTGCAACAGCGACAATCTTCGCTTCCAGTGATGCGGCAGTGCCAGCCTCGGTCTTCGTGGGCACGTCGACCCATCCTTCGTCTGGGGTCTGTGGTCGTTCGGAGACTTCCGTGCTCGCATTTGCGCCGGCACAAGTCGCAGCCTCCCCTTTCTTCTCTTCAGCATCATCCAAGGCCGAGTCTACGCGCGATTCCGCTCACGATTTCATGCATGCCGATTCCATCTCACCAAATCGACCAGCATCCGCCGTCGCGGCTGTAGCGTCGTGGGTTGGCGACTCCACGTCCCATGCCATCTCGTCATCGTCGTCGTTGCCATCCACTGGCATGCCGCGTTGGATACGCACGCCTAGCTCCGGAACGCATACCTTTTTCAAGCAGCAGCGCGCCTCGCTGTTCTTGTGCAGCTAACAGCGACGCTTTGTACAAGTAATGGCTCCAAAATGCACCGGCGTCCACCGTTCCAGGCACTGCAGCACGACGAACGATCACGCCATGCTTCGGTAGAGATTCTACCTAACACGTCAAACTTGTCCTTCACGATCGGGTAGTGCTCCAAGACTTCAGACTGGAGCAACTCGAAGTCGTCTGCGGACAAGGCCCCCTTCCATGCCTGCATGCACGTGTCAACGACGAATGTAGAGAGAGCTTTGCCGACCTGGAATGTCTCCAAGTCCACTGGGACGTCCACATAAGTGTCGGTGGCTTCCTGTAGCGCCAGCAAGCGGAATCGACGGCCGCTACAACGATCGTGCAGATGGGTTTGGTTCCCTCAGAGTAGTAAGTACCTGGACAGCTCTTCGAGGGGGGGTGCGTGCTCGTGCTGGTCGGCAGTCCATCCTCCAAGAAATTCATCGGCGCTGGGAGGCGTGTACGTCAGTTGCCGAGCAATGAGAGCGTCCTTGAGACAGACTCACCTGTGAAGGAATGTAGTCCCAACAGACTCGAGGCGTGATCCAAAGGCAAAGATCGTCGCTTTCACCGACGCGGTTGTCGACGTTGTTGTGGCTGTGGTTTCGTCGGCTTCTTGGAGAACGTCCTCGTCGTCTTTTCTGGCAGCTTGCTCGGATCGTTCAGCCAATGTAGCTTCCACTTTTTTCTTGACTTCTTTGGCGGCTACCGCAACATCCTAGACCAACGTGTCCTCTTAGACAAATCGACAACGCCAACTTTACCCCTTGGACTGTCGTGGAGAACTCCTTCAGATCCGCGCTAAGTGTGGCCAATGCCTTCGACGACTGCAGTGCGTGAGACAACCCGATGTCATGTATTACCTACCGAGTCCTTGACCGCGGACATGAGCGAGAACAACGACGACGCCATCCCGTTCTTTCCCTGGTGAAATGGCGATGTGTGAATGTAGAGAACACGCCATGTCCAAATGGACCAATCAGCGCTCTTTCTTAGATTATAATCCAATCAAATGCAAAAGAATTCGCCCATGCTTCGGCAGGTGGATTCATTTTAACGATGGGAATGCCTCAAGTCCGTCCGAATCGGTGGCATGCCACTAGAAGGTGGCTGGGCATAACTGTGCGGCGATGGGAGCATACCACCATGGCGGGAAGGTGACCTTGGATGGTACGGAGGTTGCTGGTGGTCCCATCCCTTCGAGTGCGATGGTGGCAAACCCACAGTCCCGGGTGGACGTGGGTTCGTGGGATTGTAATCGTAAGCAGAGGCTGGAAATCGATCGATGGGGTTGTACGCACCGCCGAATGGTCCGGACGGGGGATGGGATTGGTGCGACCTCATTGCATTGTCATAGGGACCACCATAGCTCCCGTACTACCACCGACACGCGATGACAGCCTGGTCATCGTGGAGTCTGCCGTCATGTAGTCTTACCGATTCGACTGGTGCAGCGTGGCCGCCATACCCGTGGTAGAGGTTGTTGTCGATACGTTGGCCTCGTCTAGGGTGCCCTGGGTCCCACCCGACACGGTAGCTGTTTGGTACTTGTCCTTTGCCGTAACGCCGTCCGTGGTTGCTCGTCGAAGCAGATGGTTCTGGAACAATTCCAGGAGCCACGGCGAGCGATGACGTTGGCGACGGCAGCAACGCGGGTTGAGCAGTTGCTAACCCGGGCGAACCACCACTGGTAGAGCTGGTCGACATCGTGCCACCGCCGTACTTGGTCGCCAGCTTCTGCAGTTTGGCGCGGTTGACTCCGTCGGCATGCAGCTTCACGTTGTTCTCATGGAGCCGAATCAAGTCACAGTACGTGGCGACTCGAGGGTTCAGCTGGGCGAGGAGCGCTTGGGCTGCAAGCTGCTTGGCCACTTTCTTGTTGCCTGCAATACCTTCTGCAGCCGTCGGCCCGACGGACGCCGTCACCTTGAACGCGCTGCGATCTCCCTTGCCCTCCCCTGCCAGCGTCACCGTCGTGTAGTTCACCGCGATTCCTTTGTTCTTTGACTGGAATTCCATGAGGAGCTGCGCCGGTGTCTTGAACGACAGGTCCATGCACCCTTGGAGGACACCCGGGTCGTGGATCGCCATCAACTCGAAGTCCTCCATAGTCTACAATGCATTTGTGAGTAAGCGGGGACAGCAAAACCACGCAAACGGACGGTCGCAGCGAGAGTCGGCTTGGTCCAGTCGGTATTCGAGCGAGATGGAGGCGTCGACGTAACATCTCGAACGAGGCCTTCCTCCTTCAAGCCGGCCCAGTATCCCGGCAGCCTACACCACCACATCACCACGTGAAGGACTAGCGTCACCATAGACATGAAGCAATACAAGAGGTCGAGGGCCTTTCCCGCCGCCCGTTCGCGAGCAACTTTGTTGGTGACGTCCGTGGCATGGCACATTTCTTCGCCATTCACGACGATGCCGCAGCGAAATGGCATGGCTGGGTCTGCGATGGTGATCGCGCGATGAGGTGGTCGGTCAACGACATGACAGCCTACCGTCTGACATGGTCTTGACAAACTCGGCGGCTGGTCGCCCGGCAGCGGCCAGGTACTTAGTCAAAACGGTAGAGGCAAGCTTTCCGGCAGGGTTCTCCATTGTGATATCGCCCACCACAACTACATCTGGACTTGTTACTAGAGATGCCGCATGTGCTGGTGGCACGGTGACTTTGTCCGCGATGTCGGACGTTTGATCGTCTGGTAGTGGTCTCTTTCGAGACGATGTTGGGGCAGGTGTGCGCGCAGTCGTCGCAGTTGGACGTGTCTTTGGCTCGTCAGGTGGGGAGCGGTCTTCGCTTGGCGTCGATGTTGGGCATTCTTTTTGCTTGGGAAGTGTTTGTACTGCCTCGTTAAGGCGTCGAAGAATCGCTACGATCCAGCATGTCAGGCCAACATCATGGAGCTTGCCACGTACATTCGGCTTGCACGAGCTTAACGGGGCGATTCAAATCAGGTTGGCGCATTCCACATCCAGCTGCAAAAATCTCAATCGGCGGACGGTGGGCTTGCACCATATCGTCAAGCGTAGTGCGGCCATGGCGGTCGATAGCCTGAACAACGTACGGCTGCGACCACGACACAACACCAGTGGGCTCATAGAGAAAGCAAAACAAACCGGAGTTGTGGGCCACGCGCTTCCATCCATGCGGCAGAGCGACGTCCGAATACGTGGTCTCATAGGACAAGTCGTCGTCATGTGCGTCGTCCACCCGAGCCATGCGGCAGGAGCTCGATTTTGTACGTGGAAGAACTAACCTTCAAATAGTGTGGAAACAAACGGGTGTATGCATGTACAGAGGTTCCTGAAAGGTGAGAATTTATGAAATGGAGTGCATAAAATGCCAAAGGCTTTCCTTGCCATTATTTTGCAATCGACTTCTCATGTCGATTGAAAGTGAATGAGCCAATCAAAATACTTTGAGGGGTTTCGTTAAATTCCGACGAAATAGCTTCAGCCAATCAAAATTGGCAATCGAGGGCCAGCACAAATCTGAAGCAGCCACAAACCATCGACATTCGAGACATGTGTGTGAAAGAGGTGAAATCGACTGGGTTGTCGAGATCTGACTCCGTCATAAGTCTGCGTCAATTCTGGCGTCATTTGTAGGCGCGTTAGAGCATTGACATGAAGAGTGCATGGTCGCCAGCGTGCGTGTATTCACATGCGGCTGGACAAAAAGATCGACACGTGCGGGCGAGATTTGGCAATTTTGAAACCTAAACCGCACAGTTGAAAATATATGCCGTGAGACTCGTGGGAGCGAGAAGGTAAATGTCACGAGGCTAACAGACTTCGCATAAGACAACGTATCGCTGAAGCAGCAATACCCAGCATGCGTGCTGCCATGTCCCCGCCGCCAAATTTAAATTGGCGGCTTCGGGCGCCTTAGGACCCAGCTTGCCAAGAGTGTTGGTATTTTGGACAATTTTGATTGGCTGAAATTTGAAACGTATTCGCTTCCGTGTCCATACAAATTTCAAGTGAAATCCAACATGACGGAAAACTTTACCGAATATGTTCTCCACTGACCAAGTTGGTGCTGGAGAAGGAGCACGAACATGGGAATCACAACGATCAAGCTGCTGCACAAGGAGGCGCAGGATATGCGCCGGGTAAAGGTGTCGGATCTACTTCACACGATCGGGAAGACCGTGTCGTCGTCGGAGCACGCGTTCTCGTTTGACGAGTTGAGAGCCTACGCCTTGGACCATGCATTCCCCTCGTTGAAGATGTCGGAAGTGTTTTTCTACTACTTGGACGACGAAAACGAACAAGTTCGCATCACAAACGAAGCCGAACTCAAAGAAGGTGTGCGACTCATGGAGACGGAAGGGTCGATTTTTAAACTGGTCATTTCGGGGAACCGCCAAGTCGCCGACCAAGATGCTACCGCTGGCGTAGTGTCGTTCGATTCCGAATATTCAACGGCTCTGTTTGTGGACCTCAGTCGTCTACTGGAAAGGTGGGAAGCCTCTCCGGATCAAGCACAAATGAAGAAGGACATGGGGGTGCTTCTCCACGAAGCAGGTGTCCAAACGGCTCTGATCGACATGATGGCCGATGCCAAGGTACACTTTTCTCGACCTTCTTCACAGTAGTTTTATGCGTTTATAGTTTTCGGCGTCATTTGAGAACGTATCTGCTTTGATCAAGACGGTAATGGCATCGCCCGCATAAGTGTACATCATCGTCATTCGTGGTTGCTGTCGCGCTGTAGGAAGGCTCCATTCTGCACGGCGTGGCAGCTATGTTTGCCGAAGGCAAAGTGCAGGAAATCGCCAGCGTATTGATGGAAAAGTGTCCCCACGTGAAGGAGCTGCTGGAGAACATTATGCACGCCTTGCAAGTACACATGCACGCCCATACATCGCCATCAACGGGTCAAGTAGCATTGGACAACCAAACTCCGCTTCCGCCGCTTCCTGACGATCCATTTGTCGTGCATCGCGCGTTGGAGTTTGTGACGGGGCGATTCTTCATCGACATTTCGTCGCTCACGAATGAACAATCGGGAGAGGTCATGTTCAACTGTGGTGTCGACGGCGCGTTGCTGCGTCCGCTCAGTCGCGAAGCGCGCATTCGTTGGATTGCAGAAACCATTTTAAAGCTGCAAAAGGCCAACCAGGCGCTCAAGGACGCCAAGGCGAAAAAGTTGCAGGAAGAAGCCGAGAAACAAATCGATACGCACGGCATCATGGACGCCGACGACGTCGACAATAAACCGTCTGCGGCGTTTGTAGGGGACGTGAGCTTCCCCGACGGATCTACAATTCGTGCCGGTGACTCATTCCTCAAGACGTGGCGCCTCAAGAACGACGGCAAAACGGTACCTTTTGGTGCATTGATTGATGGGCATGCACCGGACTTGATGTGATTGCATTTTGATCTCACGTTGTTCGACGATAATGTCCTTTTTTTTGCTTGAGAATATTTGGGTTTGAGGGTAGTGGACGTGCTGATTGTTGTATCAATTGATGAGTGCAATATTGACACGAAGGCACAGCGAACTCACGCGCCTGGAACTCGTAGCGCTGGCCGGCCAAATCGCGCTTGGTATGTGTCGGCGGAGACCACTTGGAAATCGGCGACAGCTTTGTGTCAGTGCCGATTGTTCCTCCGGGCAAAATGATCGACGTATCGGTCGAGATGAAAGCTCCCTCCAAGCCGGGTATGCCCCTCTACTTGACTGTCGAAGTTTGACGTATTGGATGGCGTGTGTACGTAGCGAGATATACTGGTTACTGGCGCCTGTGCACGGCCGACGGCAAGCGTTATGGACAGCGGCTCTGGGTGGACATCTTGGTCGTGGGCAAGCCAGACCCTCCGGCCCCTTCAGCTCCCCCTGCAACCCCCACTCCTCTTGTCAAGCCCACAGTGGTGGAAAGCCATGCTACACCTTTGTCGAACGAAGTCGTTATTCCAGCTCCAGCTGCCACTGTGATCCAGCGTCCTGCGGCGCCGTCGCATTACTCGATCCCTGCTCCAGCCCCAGTCGTGTCGCCTGCCCCTGTGGCGGCGCCATCGCCTAGCCGATTCCAGGACCAGCTGGACACGCTCTCGAGCATGGGTTTCTCGAACACAACACTCAACCTGTCCCTCCTGGAGGAATACAACGGCGACGTATCGCTCGCATTGAACCATTTACTCCAATAAGTCCATGAATGCAATGCTTATATAAAGTGCCAGAAGTTGACGCCCTCGGTAAGGTTGAGGCTGCGGACGTTCGCTTCAAGTTCGCCGTCCGTGCGGCCCATCGAGACACAACAAATGATGGGCGGCACCGCCTCGCTGAAGTGGATGATTGGGATGTTGAGTCGCGTGACTTGGTCGTGGTGCTTGGTCCCGATCTTCTTTTCGTTGACGTCGCAGAACGCGGCGACTTTTCTATGGCCAATACAAGAGTGAGCTTTGCCTTGTACACATTGGCGTCGTCACCGCTTGGATTCAATCGATAACTCATTGAAAACCGCCTTCCCGTCGCGCCCGCAGCCCCAAATCGTGAACGACGGCCATGTACTCAGCACACGCCGCTCGAGCGACTCGAGTCTCGTTCGCAGCAGCACGCGGCGAGGCAATTTGCTGCAGACACTGCCACTCGAGTGTCTACATCGAGTATGAAATGATGGCTCCAAGAGCGATTGGTTCGTGATGCACACCTGTAGATGACGAGTGCGTCGGCGGCTTTTTTCAAGGTGCCTCCCAACTCCAAGTGCTGCGATCGTGCACAATGGATTCAAATCGAAGGAAAGGAGAAGGTGGTAGGTACCTTGAGAAAGAAGATCAAGTCCTCAGGGATTGTGGCACTCGTTTTGGCTTCGTCGAAGCCTCCCACAAACGTGAAGCGCTCTCGCGACATGAACCACGTCGGCATGATGATGGTGCACTCCCTGCAACCCACGAATGTTTAGGATGGACTATAACGCATTCATGGACGAAACAAAGAACGGGATGTGGCGTACCTGTATTGCTGTAGCACCAATTGCTCGTCTGTCAGCGAGTTGGCCCATGCTGTGTAATGCCAAGTCGACCCTTCTGGAATTCGCGTAAAGTTGGCGCCAACGATGACTGCCGGGTCTTGCTTCGCGATGGCTCTAGATGAACACGAGATGACTTGGACATTCCACGTCGAGGCTTGCGTACATTTGGACGTTGACACGGTGCGGTAAAGTTATATCGTCCGAATCGAGAAACGCAAAATACGTGCCCGTACACGCTTCAGCGGCGCGGTTCTTGGCATACCCAGCACCACCAGGTGTGTCTTTCTTCTTGCCGATCGCATGCAACGTTACACCCGCGGCGGCACACTTGGGCACCCACGCTTGTAGTTTGTCGAACGTGTCGTCCGTCGACGCGTCGTCGTACACTGCCACTTCCAATGGGCGATACGTGATCTTACAGATGGAATCGAGACACTCATCAATCGTGCTGCTGGCGTTGTGAGCAGGTACGATAAAGGACACAAGCTCGCGCGGTGGCGCGTCCTTGCGATCCACCTTGGGTTTCTTTGGCGCGGGTTCGCCGCTGTCGGCCATTTCAAACTGTTGACACTGCGCATTGATTGGATGCTTTTGGCAAAGTTTCATATTATTTTAGCCAATCAAAAGAGACTCAATGGTCGAAGGAAATTCGAACAGACCGACCGACTGTGAAGATCTCCGGCGTCCTCGACCAGTTTGCCTTGTCTGGAGGATGGCGCTGACGCAGAGACGTGCTATGCGCAGCGTCGTGGCGATGGTGGTGACATGCCTCGTTGCCCTTGGTGGAGTTGCCGCCCGAGAGCTGCCCGTGAAAGGCGAGTTGCTGCACCAGCCAACACGTAGCTCAAGTGGCTCAACATTGGTCCCAGCGCCAGACGCTGTACTTGACCAACCCACTGCAACCCATCGCTTGTACAAGCCAGCTACAGTTGATGGGCCTCTGGACGCAATTTCACCGACCACGACAAGCGCCTCAGCCTTGCTGCCAGCAGATGCAACCCTCGATGACTTGGAGCACGCACTGTTCAGCATTCTCGACAGCAACGACGAGGACGATACCGCGAGCATCAGTGCGACGTGGTGCACAGACGTTGGTGTCCAGTTTGAGCTGGATTTCCGCTCCGCATTCGCCGATCTGCGCGGGTTTGGCCATTTTTTTAGCCAACGTATGACAAGCGAGCTCGACCACAAGTATACTGTTTCATTTCGTGACTTGAGCCCATCCCACGGCGCGACAGACAAGGCGTTTGTTGTTTTTTCCGCGTGTTCGTCTCCAGACGACACAACGACAACAGCCAACACGACGTGGCTGGCGGCCTTCGTCTCCAACATGCATCGCTTTCTGGATGGCCATGGCAAGGCGCTCCACGCGTCGTCCGAACAGGCACACACTCTGGACGACCTGTTTGTCTACGCTCTTCCAGTTGACCAGCCTTCCGCGCGCATTCAAATCTGGCCCGTGGCAGTGACCATTGCGCTCGTGCCACCCGACTCGAACGGTGTCCCCACTCTTCATTTGTCGCTTCGAGTGCAAAACACGGGACCGTTGCCTGTCCGCGTGTTTCACGTGGTCTGCCACGATGTCCGCGGCTTCCGCGACACGGTCCTTCCTATCGTTCCAACTGTGGTGGTGCCCCCAGGAGCCGACGTAACTCTATCTGTGGAAGGTTCGATTGTACAAGATTCCCATGTCGAACCCGGTGACTTTGAAGACGACAAAGAAGATGTCGAAAGCGATGATGACGACCACCACAAAGCGCCCATGCGGCTACACATCGTTCAAAGCTCGGGCAACTTCATCGATCTCAACGTTGCCGCGAGTTTGGTCCGACCCACCCTAGCTGGACTCGCTTTAACACAAATTTCTCAACTCGAGGACGAAGGTGCACTAAAAATCGATGACCTCCTTCCCAAGACGACTCGAGCTCCCCTTGCCGCCGTTGACGCCCGCTCGTCGTCGCTTTCATTTCATGCCAGCACGCCGGCGCCATCCACGAATCGACAGCACCAAGACTGGCACCGCGACACCGCAGCTGTGCCCAAAGCTACGCTGCGAGTCGTGGGTAAGGAATATGCTGTCGCAGCGGCTGCCCATGAAGGCGAAGGAGTGCTGCCGATGGCGTCATTTCCATCGTCCGAGTGGAAAGGTATGCAGGACAGAATGCAAACATTTCTGTGGAGGAATCATTGGGTTCTTCTCATGCTGTAGCGGCGTCGACGGTGCTGCTGTTGGGTGTGTTTGGGGTCACGGCGTTTTTTGTGTACGGCAAACTACGCCGCCGCACATCGGCTGCATTCAAGCATCACCATACAAAAACCAAGCAGGCGGCTTGGGAACATCGACGACGCGAAGATGCTGCCGACGACAAGGAGTGCGAGATGATGCTGCGGTCCACGAGGCAAGGCCAAGACGATAGCTCGGACGATACACGAGAGCTGGAAGAACCGTCGAGCTCCGAGCGTGCTCGTGATATCTTATCGACGCCACCTATCCAGCTGAACCATGCATGGGGTCGATCGACGGCCCAGACCACGGTGAGGCTCGATGAACCACCGATCGCTTCGTTTCGACCACTGTCGCTTCAACCGCACCCGATGCAACCAGTGGTGCCACCCCCGTATCAACTGCAGCTGGACCTGTCGGTGCGGCTGCATCCAAAACGGTTCGAGTCGCTGTGGGAAGAGAGTGTTGTGCGGTGGGTCGCTCCGTGCCCTCTTTGGGCGACGCTCACCACGGCGTTGCTTAGGAAATCGTGGACTCAGTCCGCTGTCGAAAATGGCGCACTGCCGCCCACTGGTGTTGTCATTCAGGTGCTGGAAAGCCAGGGCATTTTGTGCATGGCCAGCGGGTCGGTCGCCATGGTGGACAAGTATTTATTCTACTCGTATGAGGTACTGCACCCTTTCGTCCTCTGCTTGCTCCTGTCCGATGACGCGAGCTAAGTGTATTGCGCATGTGTGCAGGTGGCACTCGGGCAGTTCCTCTTCGTTGAAATTGTGGCGAACCCTGTTACTTTGGACATCGCGTCGAGCGTGCGATGCCACCGTGACGTTGGGGCTCCAGCTGTGGATGCTCTAGCGGCGTTGGTGCACGCTCTAATTCAGGCGATATTGGAGTCCATCAAGGCGCGAGGTGTTGCGCTGGGCTGACAGCGGTATTGCAAGACGTTCGTGCTACTTCTTGCTCGCCGCGCGCAGCAGGATACATGAGGACAAAATGTCCTAGGGGTGTGGTTGAAGGATTTTCAGCCAATCAGAGCACCGCTCTTGTAATCTATCCAATCAAAATTATTTCATACTGACAATTGTTCATCCAATCCGAGGGCTTCGAAATCCTCTACCAACGACGGCAAGGGTGTCGCGTCTGAGTAGCTCCCTCGTCGGATATCCGCGCCGTTCGCTTCCCCAGCGTCTGCTGCGACAGACCAAGGCCGGCAACGGAGCGAGTAGCTCGAGACATGCCGTGTCGCGCGGGGAGTCTCCCCCACCTTTCTGGCTGCCCATCCAATAGTTGAACGGTCACGAAGCTGAGACATCTATTGGGGCGCAATATGACTGGCGGTGGGGTCTCGGCCGAAAAAAAAAAGAAACGCCGGATTCCTGTGACGAGGGGACAAAGTAGCGAGAAAATCTTTTTTTTAATTCTCTTTGCCTCGGAGTTCGTTGTATGTATTCTCTCGCGGCGAATTCTTCTGGAGTTTCTTCAGGAGGAATTAATTTTGCCTATTGGGCAATTTTAGCTCGTTTTTTGTATGTATCGTGCTTAAGTACTTGAAATTATTTTGTGTGAAGTCAATTGGCCGACATCCAATGCTCGACTTCTCGAATCATTTTGGAACTGTACCGCATCCGTGCTGTGGGGACGTCGGGGACGCGGCGTGTGAAGGCTGATACCACGACAACGACGACATCCATCGCTGCAATACCTACGTGTCACCTGAGAGAGCCAGGACCTGCGAAAAACGACTACTGCACAGCCCGACTTTGTCCTCCTACAAACCCGGGACGATCTCATGCACTCTTCGACGTCGTCAGCACAATTAACGTCGGACAGCGATGATCGAGGCCGTGCAATTGTTCAAACGTTGTCCGTTGTGTTAGAGGGCATGGTCCATCCCGCAGACTCGATTCCCGTGGGGTACTTGCAACGAACCAAGTTTGAAGCGTTGCGAGCTCCTCAAATTTCCATCCTGGACTACCTCGTCCGCATTCACACGTACGCATCATGTAGCCCCGAATGCTTTGTCCTGGCGCTGGTGTATATCGATCGACTGCATCAAATGCAAGGTTTTGTCATGACCGACCTGAACGTCCACCGGGTGATCATCACGAGCATTGTCCTGGCCGCCAAGTTTTTCGACGACCACTACTTCAACAACGCGTACTACGCCAAAGTCGGCGGGGTGCCATGCGCAGAAATGAACGAGTTGGAAGTCGAGTTCCTCCTGCTCACCAACTTTACGCTCCACGTGTCCACCGACATGTACTCACGATACTACAACGAGCTCGCGAACCACTACATGTTCTCGTCTCAAGGCAGTGCAGACATCAAGCACTTTGTGAAACCCGACGCGAATGGTCTGCTCGAGTACGTGACGGAAGATGTGTCTGTGATCTTGGACCAGGACATGTGTTGCGTCGGAAGTGGCGCAGCCCCGTTGTCTTCGACCGCGAGTTGCTCCAGTCTCTCGTCCAGCGTTGGCTCTAGTTCTGGTGGCAGCAGCTTTGGCACTACCACGAACTGCAAAAAGAGGTCACGTACATCGTCAGGACAAAAGCCAAGGAGGAGCGTCGTGAGCCCATTGGGAGTGAACGCGTGAGCCGCGGACGCTTGTCGACCGATCTCTTTCTTGTATCAGTAATCGTTAGCTTAATAGTATCATAGGTTAGTTGCAACTCGCGTTGGCCGACATGGTTTTCGTCGTTATCATCTTGGTGCCGAGCTGACCGTGATGCGAGGCGTCGTGCGTTCTAGATGACAGAAGGAAGACCCATGGTAGGCTGGGTTTTCGGCGGCGGGTCAGGTCGCAGAGCTATATCACATGCATCACCCGAGACGGCGCTCGAATGGCCGAGGAACGGAAGGCCGTCCGTCGCAACGGAGTGGTTCGGATGGATTTTGCAACCAAACAGCTTGATTAGGTTAGGCATTGCGACGCCAGAACGTGCCGTCCGAGACACCGTACTGGAACTTGCGGTCGTGTTCGCGGATGAGGAAGGGGTATTGCGTGCGCGCGACGAGCGTGAAGTGGGGCGCCAAGAGTCGCTCGATTTCGGCAAATGAGTCGATGGGAGTCCCGTCCACGGGGTTCACCGTGCCGCCTATCCAGTGCTCCTTGGGCGTGTACTCCTCGAGCCACGAGTATGGGCTGATAAGAGCCAAGACGCCGTCCGACCGTACAAGGGACGGCAACGTGGCAAGGAATTGCTTAGGCTCCGGCAATCGACACAGCAAATTGGACGCAAAGACCAAATCAAATGCGCCCAACTCCGCAACGTCCAAGTTACACGCGTCGCCCTGCGCAAACGTGACTTTGGACCGGTCGATGTCCGCAGCGACCTTTGCCACACGGGATTCCTTGATGTCTCCTTGTAGCAGCGCTTCGTATTCGGCAGTTCCCTTCAATTTCATGGCGTTCGCGACCTCGATGAAGTGATGCGAAAAGTCGATGCCCACTACCTGCACGTAAAAATGAAGCTGAATCGAGTGTATACACTTGGAAGACGTACCTCGTCGAAATGGCGCGACAATTCAAACGACGAGCGGCCGACAGCGCATCCGATCTCAAGCGCGCGTTGGCGGCGGTTCTGCTTGGGCAGATGACCGACAGTGTCCTCAACACAGCGAGGCAAAAAGTTTAACGCATCTGAAGGGGCAAATGCCCATGGCACGACGTCTTTGGAATCCCCTAGAACAACATCCTGAGCGACTCAAAGCACGCATGACACGTCGATGGTACCAAAGTGGAACTGAAGGTACTCGTGCGCCGCACGGTCCGATTCATAGACGGTGGAGCCGCTGGCTGTGGTGCTGCGCGTCGACATTTTGCGGACCGTGGATGTGACGCGTTGCATGGCAAGCGGGCAAGTCCAAGAATGACAACGCAATGCCGCCCGCCGCACGCGTTGGCAAAAAATCTTCATCCGAATTCCGCCATGAAACGTCGTTGACTGGATGAAAATAATTGTTTTCATCCAATCATATATCGGCAAAGAGACATTTCAACACTGTGAAGTAAATCCCCAAGCACATGACGTGGCGACACCACCGACCAGTTTGAAGGTAGGACGTTCATGTCCTGGTGGGCGACAGAGTGGCAGCGGTTCGATCGCACTGTACCTGACAGGACACACAGAATGGACTGGTTGGACTGTCTCGGGTCGGATCGTTGTGTAGTTGAGCTCTCGCTACACTTTTCTTTCATCACTCACGATTTGATTGCTCATGTACTACCAGACTGCCGTGCTTGTGATGTCAGGCATGTACTCTTGCGTGGCTGGCCAACGCCAGCCAGTCGCGCCGTGGTCAACGAGTGTGCTGCCGATGCTCAATCTCTTGGACAGTGTCAAACCGTGCGAATACACGACGGTGGTCCTTCCGTTTTTGCCGTACTTGGTGGACATTCAAAACTGCACCACAGACAGCAACTACACGTTCGTGCCTCCTGCGGCATTTCCGACGGCAAAACAAACTCAAGCGCTGTGCACGAAGCCTACATGTACAAATGCCCTCACCACCCTGCAGTCATTGGATATGCCGAACTGCACGGTGCCATCGCCAACCGGCGAGCCAGTGCTACTCGACGTTTTGATCCGTCATATCGTGGCTTCATGCGATGCTCGTGCTGCAACGTACATGCCGACTGTCATTCCAGTAACCACCATGACCCTCGATGATGCTGAGGCAGAGACGGAGCCGCAGGCAACCGTGACGTCGTCGGCGCATCCACTGCGCGGTTTGTCAGTTGGCGCACTCGCCATCACGATCGCGTCGCTGATCATGCCATTTGTATAGCCTTAATCCAGCGCTTCGGCGGTAGTGGGCGCCTGGCATAGCCACTCAATATCAAAACACTCAAAATGCACAACGATCTCTTCCTTTCACCAAGTCCTGGCAACGATATATGCGTTGACTTTGGATGCAACGTCAAGTTTTGTGGTAATCCCTCAACACGACATCATGTCCACCTTTACAATACGGGTTAAAAGCGGGGGACGCTGTCGACAGCAGGTCTCCTGCCGTCCGTGAGCAAAAGGTGACAGCTATGCAAGAAACCAAACCGACATGAGGCGCATCGCGCTTGACAGGCCACTGCAGACCGAACGGCAATGGTGGCACCACCGGCTACTACTACTCGAGTCCAAGCGAACGCGCGATGTGTCCTGTCAACCTCTGAAACAAAAAGTTCATTTGCTCGGCGGATCCTGTCACTTGGCCTTTACCGCTCTACACAAGACATGTACTTCCCACTTGCCATTCTCGCGGTGTCCATGGCCGATTCGATCGCGACTGCCCAACGCCTTGGTGATCCATCGTTGCTGGTGACTCAGGCCCCCATGCCAAATCTCTTGGAAGGCTCCAAGCCTTGCGACTACACGTCCCTCGCGCCAACGTTTTTGCCATTCTTGGGCGACATTCAAAAGTGCACTGCCGATAGCAACTACACGTTTGTGCCGCCCGTGGCCTACCCCACAGCGGAGCAGATCCAAGTACTGTGTACGACACCCTCATGCACGAGCACAGTGACGTCACTCCTGTCGTCGACGTTGCCAGATTGCACGGTCGCTGTCCCGAATGCCGCGCCTGCCCCGCTCGACGCGCTAATTCGCCGAATCGCTGCATCTTGTCAGCCACCCTCTACGACCACAATAACCCCCACGACCACCATCTCCACGACTGCCGAAGTCACCGTGACTCCACCGATGGAGGACGCCGCCACCGTTGTGCCCATGGCCACGGCAAAGTCTTCGGCTTGGATAGCTGTCGCTTCTCCGATCGCGGTCGTCTTGACAACGGTTGGCATGCAGTTTTAGCTGGTCATGCCATCATTTCCATGATGGAGTAAAGATGATTGCATATCGTTGTTTGAATTGCTTATTCCTCGATCGCCTCCGTCCGTTAGTCGGTGCATTGCACGAGCGCGGCCACCACCGTGATGTCGTCCATCTTGCCACCGGCAGTGTCCTTGTAGCCAGCTTGGCGCGCCGCCAACGCGAACGGTGTCATCCGGGTATGCGACTTGGCCACGTCGTGTGCAACGTCTACCACGGTGGTCGCCAAGAACTGCATTGCTTGCGACGCCTACACGATTGCATCAGTCAATGATGCTGACAAGCCAACATCAGAACTGACGTCATGGCCACGAACAACACTTTCGGCGGAAATCAGGTTGAGGAGCTCGACCAGATGCGGCGGTGAAATGTTGTCGAATCTGGCGAACCTTCTGTTACCGCGATGCATGCACTTGACAGGTGCATGACAATATACGTACAGGCCATCCGTGGCTAGCAAGACAAGGTCGTTGGGTTCGACCGCGATCACTTGGGTGTCGCCATGCTCGGGCTACGTTGTATCGATGACACAGTTGACAGGGGCTGTTCCAACCTACCGTGTCGCGGCTGCCAAATCCGAGCTGATACGGACAATTGAAATAGTGGCATTGCGACGGAGATTCGTACAGAAGTGTCCACTTGTCCGCCTTTTGCCGACACAGGAGAAACCCCGAGTCCCCGACGTTGACGGTGCTGAGTTTGGCGTCTACATGGACAAGGGCTCCCAGACGTATTCAGCAGTTCGCAGCAGTACCGTCGATATGTACGATGCACGCCGTGGAGCTACCAGGAACCTAGATGCAAGTTTATGGCTGAGGCACTTTGACCCGTGGTCACGGTTGGCTGCACCGAAGTGTTGTTGTAGGCATCTGTCAGCCGAGCCTTGGGCTCCGTCAACGTGCTGGCTTCACACGAGGCCATGAGCATGCGCGAATACGCACCAGAGTCAATGCCTAGGGAACCGATGCCTCGACTCGTCATTCCAATCGAGATTGGCCTACCCTTTCGAGCCCACCCGCCAACACCGTCGGCGACCCCAATTGTCGTTGGCGTACAGAACGCGGCATCTTCCCCTTGCTTCTTCTCAGGATGTGGCAACGACACCATACTCGACACGAAGCTCCAACTGCCGAAAGATGGCGACACGCCCAAAGACCCAAGCCACCGCCGCGACGCGTGCCGCCTGGCCGCGCCCAAACCTTGCCGCAGCATCTCGAGTCGTCCACAACCGGACGTTCCTCGCGATTATCCGGATGCCTACGCCTACGAAAAGGTTGCCACAGTTGCCAGTGGTGGGGAGGACAGATGACGCTGACGGAGGAGCTGAGGAAGGCAAGCGAGTTGACGACAACGCGTGATGAGGTGCCACCTGACGAGTTGGCGGCAGAGATCGACACGCCGTTCGACTTGGTTGATGCCATTGAGAAGCACAATCCGACGTCTCTGAGTGACGCGATCGCGGCAACATATGTGACTAACGAGACCGACGGCGAACGGCAATGGAGCCAAACGATTTTGTTCTTGGAAGAAGCGTTGGCGATCGCAAAGCACAAACATGAAGTGGCAGCGCGGTCGAAAGGCGCCGACATCAGCAACTCGGCGCTGGTCACATTGTGCAAAGTGCCGACCATTGTGCCAAAAGGCAAGGCGCTCGACATTGTGTTTGGCGAGACCGACCTCGTCATCCAAGGAAAAGATTTCAACTTGTCGACGCCCTACAGCAACATTGACGTGGTGCTCAAACTGCCTGAATATGTACGCTCGTGCCACTCAGTCCGCAACAAAGTGTCTAACTCGTTGGTAGGAGGCGGTCGCGAAGCTCACCGCGCACAAGTACCAGTTCATCCTGCGCCTTAAAACCCCCGTGACACACAAGAAAAACCGACTGTCGTACTTGTCGTTTGTGCTGGGATGCTTCGCCGAGCAAAGCGATGCGAACGTGGTGTTTCACGTGGACGAGGCGGCGGAGGATTTCACCGACAAGAAGCTGCATGAAATCGCCGAGATGCTACTGCAGTCGCTGACGTCGATGACCGTCATCAAGACGTACCCTGAGGTGTCGGGGAAGCGCTACGTGAGCACGTCGGGGGCACCCTACGTGAAGTGCTACCGACGGACGAGTCCCGGCATCCTGTTCTTCTTGCCGCAAGGTCTGTGCTTCGTCAACCCGCCGGTGTTCCTCAGTCGGCAAGAAATCGATTCGATCTCGTGGAGCCGCGAGACGTCCGAGGCGCTGCGGACATTTGACGTGACGGTCGAGATGGTCGATGGCCAGCGGTACGAGTTTTCGATGCTGGAAAAGGAAGAAATCCCGAGCATCACCGAATTTGTCGGGTTTTTCAAGACTCTGCGCGACGAAGATGATGGAATCGCCCCTGACGACGATGCCGTGGAGAATGGCGAGGACATGGAAGACGACGAGGGCGAGCACACGGCGGACGACGGCTCGGACAATGACCAGCCTCCTGCCAAGAAGAAAGCCAAGACGACAAAGAATGCCAACGTGACGCACAAGAACGGCAAAGGCACCACGACACCAATGGCTGCGCCGCCGGTCGATGACGATGATGACGAGGCAGACTCGAATTATGAACAAGATGACGACGATGGCGAGAGTGAAGAAGATGAATGGGTCGGCAGCGAAAGCTGCAGCGACCGCGCCATGGACAGTGACGACAGCGGTGGCAGTGACGTAAATGAAGACTCGGATTGAACGTGTGCGAACGGTTTTAATTTGGAATGTGCCATTGTGTGATGACCCTCGACACTCAAGCATCTCGCCGGGGATGCGAACTGGTGCTCGGGACCTAGGACAACATACTGTTGATTCACGCGTTTGCCTCACTTCTCTTCTGCCCTCATGGCCTAGGAATCGCGTTGAGAAATCGGATGTCCCAAGTCTCATTGGGTCCATTCCTTGGCTCCTGTCGCCGACGAGTTTGCAAGGTGCGCTCGCGCCCCGCGGCAATGAACTGTCTGCATATCACTGTGGAGCACCATTCCAGTTACCGGTGGTGACTGCGAGCACTGGCACTCATGTGCTCACCCTCGTCGTGTTAGGTGAATGATGCCTCACCTCGCTGTCGCTCATGCAACGTATCATACCACCGTACAATTTGGAGGCCACTCGCGGTACCTTGTCCAGGACATTCCCGTTGCGTTCCTCGAGCCTGCAACTCCATCGTGGGTGCGCGCCTTGCAGTACGCGTCGGCAACTTCTCTCGTTCCTCGCTAATGTAAGTGGATGACGCCCTTCCTCTGGATGCGCACAGAGACACGTTGTCGCTGCGGCGGCGCCTTGTTCATGGGCGACGCTTCCTTCGGGATACTGCAATGACTTCCATCCCTGCACAACGATACAAACTCCAAGTATAATTCGCACCTTCAATGAAAATCAATGTTGGGAATAGGCCAATCAAAATGCAGCGACACTTTAGAGAGCCAATCAAGTCGCAGCAATAGATTCGCATGAATAAAGATGGAGGGGCATGTATTCGTTTTGACGGGTTCTTTGCCTTCCCTGTCTTTTTACGTCTACAAAAACCAAGTCATTCCACCATCAAGACACCAAACCGGAATTTGAAGTGCCGAGCGCACACACGATGGCGGCGACGGGCGACGTCCGACACCAAGGCATGTTGTGGCTTGCGTGCTCGTTCCTCGTGATCCTCTTCCTCGACAGCATCCAAGAAGTCTCGCTCCTGCAGAAGATTGTCCTTGTCGTGTGGTGTTTCCTCGGAAAGGTGTACCTCCACGATTTGAACGCTGTCGCAGTAACACCCGCCAAGTCGCCGTTGCAGTCCCCTCGTCGGCGCACAGCACCGAAGCCACACAACTCCAAGCACCACAAATACAGTCCCAAACCTGCAGTCCCAACTCCACCCACAATAAGCAAGTCGTTCTCCCTGGGATCCTTGAACCAACACACGCACGATGACGACCAGCATGCCCCTGCGCTCAAACGGTCGCAAACTGCATCGTCGTTGACCCCCTTGCATCCAGAACCGATGAGCATTCTGGAACACTTGCAAGAACCTTTCAGCCCACGTACCGACTCGGAAGCGAATTCGTCGCCCAAGTCGGACGGAGAATTTATCTTGGGCGAAGATGACGCGTCTCGCCTGGAAACGTTCAAGACCATGTTGAACTTGGCCGACTCTGTTGGCCTGCCGTACACGGACGAGTACCTCCTCAGTGTCATGGACGTGCCTGGTCGCGCGTTGCAATACGCCGCCGACAAACTGAATCGCATCATCGCGTGGCGCAACGACTACAAAGCACACACGATCACGCCGGCTGAAGTAGCATCGCAATTCAAGACTTGCTCCATGTACTGGTATGGGTACGACTTCCACAACCGACCGATCTTGTGGCTGCGTCCAAAGAAGAAGGACTGGACCAACATGAACAACGACCTGGAAATTCGCGCCAACGTATTTATCCTTGAACTCGCGATCAAGCAATTCATGCCGCCTGGCGTCACTTGCTTCACGCTCATCCTGGACTGCAAGGACGTCGGGTACCGGGAGGTCGACATCAGCTTGACCAAGAACCTCGTGCAAGTCACGACAGGCAACTACCCGGACCGCATCGGATGCATTGGGGTCGGGCCTCTCACGATGCTCGTTAAGGCGTTGACGCGCATCTTTTCACCGCTCCTGCCCCAACGCCTTCGGGACAAGGCTCGATTCATGGACAACCCGCTCGCAACGCTGTCCGAGATCATGCCGGCGGACGTGATTCCGACTTTTATGGGCGGGACGAACCCGCACTTTCTGAACGCGGACGACGAGGCTGGTCGGTTTGAGTACGACTTTATGGTGTCTGAAATGCGGAGGCGCATGGGCATGATCGTGCAGGCCGACGACACCGCGACGGCACCGTCCGTGAACGACCCGCATGTGTAGATTTAGCTCCCACTTATCATTATGCCATACAATTACGATGCCGTTGCCGATGCAAGCGTGTTACACGGACGTGTAGGCCTCGCGGTGGCGCTGCATGTGGTCTGCTATCCATCCCAGTGTGTCGTGGGACTGCTGCTGCTTGGCCTGCAGAGAGTCGATTTGCATCGCCCACCTCCGATCGTTCAGCCGACTGTGGTGACGTGCGACAAATGTGAAGAGCGAGCGAGGTGTAGGGACGTCATCTGCGTGGCTGGCGACTCCTGAGGATGACACGTGGGCCTCCATCGTGGCAAGCAGCGTTTGGATGCGCACGCGGTCGACCATGGCAGCGGGAATTCCACTGGTCGGGACTGATCCTTGGCGTTGGTGGCGAAGTCGATCGCCACTTCTTGTGCCATCGGGTGGCGGGCGTTGGAGGATGTCGAGCAGGGTGATGGGAACGCGAACTGAAGGAACGACGGAGACGTCGTCGTCGCCGTGCCGATGAACGCGCAGTTTGCTGAGTTTCGTCGCCACGAACGACTGCAAGTTGACTTTGGTCCACTCTGGAACGAATTGAGTCGGCGAGTTGTCGCTTGCCGAAGATGAAGTCCGCTCGACCCCTTCAACGTGCTCGAGTTTCGTGGCGTGGTAGAAGGGTAAGGAAGGTGTGGTGTGCGCCATGCCAGGCGCACGATTTTGTTTCGTCGCGCACGGTGGTGATGGAGGCAGTTCAAACGTCTCGTCCGCATACTCGTCTTTCGACGACGCGTCCTCCTCAAACTCCTCCGCACCATACTCCTCTCCATCCAGCGACATGGTCGTCTGTCCTAACAGCGCGGCGCTGCTTGGCGCAATATCGATGGCATGCTCGTCTCCAGGCGCGTCGTCATCGCTCTCGAACGAGTCGCTGTACTCCATCTTGTGTGACGGTTATAAAATGGCAAGACGAGGCAATTCAAATTTTCTGTATGTACTATAGGGAGAACACTACGGTGTCGTTGCGAGCGAGTCGGACGGAAGCGGGGACGCCGCGGTCGGGGGAATGTCGGTGGCTATGATCTCTAGAGGGACATCGACGGAGACGTCGTTCGTGACAATCCCAGGCTCAGCGCTGACCACGACGACTGGCAACGGAGCCGACGGCGACCTGATCTCGGTCGTCGCTTCCGTCCCGCTGTCTTGCATGGCAAGGAAATCTGTGCTGTTTCGCGACGATATCACGACGCTTTGCGTCGAGTAGAACGCGCCACCGACAGACGACGACCGCGATAAGAGCTGCGCTTGGTTCACGACGGGGCAAAACTCCTACCAGCGGATCCGTTGACGTCCCTAAACTTTCTCTCACCAGCACCACGATGGCAACTCACCGGCTCCAGCACGCGAAAGCTGTTCGTAATCGAGCCCGAGTTGTGTCGTTGCAATTCCACTCGACTCGCTTGGAGCTGAATTGTCTCACCGACGACGTCGCCGGGGGTCGTCGTCGGCGATGGCCCTGCCGGCGCTCCCGCCTACCACCGAGCCTCAACACATGAGACACGAAGCGTTCGCTTGACAATGGGACGGCCAAATTGGCTGCGTGGATGCACGTACATCATGCTCCATTTCGCGGGACGAGAGCACGACGACGCCAGCAATCGTGATGAGCACCCCCAACGGAAACACAATCCACTGAGTCGTTGTAAAGTGCTTGAACTCTTCAAAGTAGACGGCGCCGCCGATGACGGAGAACGTGATGAAAAAGCACTGGAAGACCGGCACGATGTACAACGCGTCAAAGTACTTGAGCCCGAGCGAGAGGCAGTGCGTTTCCAGTGAGATCGTGAGGACGAGAGCCGCGATGATGACATAAGTGAGGAACTTGTCGAATTGGTTGCTGCCTTTCAGTGACTGCTTGAGCAACTCGCCCGTACTCTTGGCAAACATGACGGACTGCGCACCAAACACCCCCGCCAACCCAGCGTAAGTCAATGGATGCATCTTGAGCACGGCTTTGTACTCGTTCGAGGTCGGTCCTTTCTTCTTGAGGACAAACTCGGCCTTCTTCAGCATCCCGATTAACGTCCACACGACTGCAAGGATCACCAAGAGGTAGACGAGCATGTCCCAGCGGTAGTACAGGTTGATGAGCGTCTCGAGGGTGTACTCGATGTTCTCGTGCGACCCATAGATCGTCACAACAACTGCGCCAATGCAGATCAGGATCGTGCCGATCAAGTCGTTGCGTGTGAGTTTTTCCTTGAGCCAGTAGTGGGCAAAGAAGATGTTGCATACCAGCGTGAACGCACCGATCGGCATGATGATGCTCTTAGCGACGGTTCAATCACGCGTTCGATTTGTGGGAAGTGTACCTGGGCGGCAAACGACAGCGCGGCAAAGTCGGCCACGGATCCCAGCCCGACGCCGAAGAACCCGAGCCACCATCGCCACTGGGTGTTGTACGGTTTCCGCTCGTGATCGGGGAGATGCTGCTGCAACATGAACGAGTACTTTTGGATGTTGAGGCCCTACACGACTTGGTTGAGACGCCGCGCTCCCACAGGACGTCCACATACAAAATTTGACACGGTCGACCCAACCAAACAGATCGTGATCCCCACGAACAAGCTCGTCGAGCTCACTTGGGCATTGCCTTCCGCCATGGTGCTACACACAATCGAATGATGGGCACGCGATGCATGCCGCTTCAGGGGCGACGGTCGCAAGCGCTTACCTTCTCGCGCGCGGCCCAGGACGCAGCCACTTTTCGCAACTGCGGTAAAGTCTCACAGATCTTGCTGTGAGTTTTCATTGGCTGGATTCGGCACCAAAATGGCTAAAAATAGATAATTATCCCTGAAAATCTCGTGAAGCGCTCGTAGGAGACGCCGACAGCTTCGTTGCATGGTGGGGCCGACTCCGCGGTGGTAGGGTCGATGCGCTGGCACAGCGAACGACGAGCGCATCGGTGGCAATGTCTGCGCTCTTGCCGAGGCAAGAGGATGTTCTGTAACGGGATTGCATCTTGGCCAGAAGCCATCTTGTGATGATACCTGACTTAATTTTTCAAATCCCCAAACGGAACTTGTACTTGATTTTAGTATGGAATCTATTTCGGTGATTTCTTGAAAATTTTCCACAGGCTTCTTTATGAGAAATGCCATTGTGGCGACTGCGACGAAGCAGGCGGCCGACGTGCACGATGCCTTCTGCAGCCGCCGTTTAACGAGCATGAGAGATGCAATGGGTGCATGACCCGTCGTGCTTCAAGCATCTCGCATGGCTCGTCGAGTGACGCAGTGCGAACGACAGGAAGGTTGCACCTTGTCGACGCCCCACCACTGGAGGAAACTCCCATTCGAACGCGAGTTGCATCGTTCGAGACGCCGGATGCAACCTTGCGCACATGCCGGGTTGTTAAAGGGGGTCCATCGCAACGAAAGTGCAAGCAAAATATGATTCAACAAAGTGGAAACCTGACGATGGCGACACGTGACGACTTAGCTCCTACGGCTGCCCCACCGGCACCTCTTCACTCGGAGGTGCTGTGTCGACTACTACTACTGGGGTTACTTCCGCGACGTCGACTGCCGGACCGTTGGGGACGGCTGGGTCGACAGGCATCGCGACATTGGTGGGCACTGGCCTGGCGAAGTCTGTCATTTCCGTTCCATTGTCGTGCACCGCGACGAAATCCGAGTTTCCTCGCGACGACATCACGACGCTCTGGGTCGAGTAGAACACGCCGCCGACGGAAGACGATCGTGACAGGAGCTGGGCCGGGTTGGACACGGGGCAAAACTCCTACGCGCACCATGCGTCACGTTAAGGTCGATGGCAACGACGCCAGGTCCGTACCGGTTCCAACACACGAAAGCTGCTCGTAAACGACCCAGAGTTCCGTCGCTGGAGGTCGTTGCGAGGCTGCATCGAAATATCCCCCATGCAGTCGGTGGACGTGGAAGATGGAGGCGGCGGCACGGTCGGCGCTCCCGCCTGCAACAAAGCCGCCTCAACGACAGATCCAGAAGAGAGAACCTACATCATGCTCCATGTCGCGGGACGAGAGCACGACGACGCCAGCAATCGTGACAAGTACCCCCAACGGAAACACAATCCACTGCGTCGTCGAAAAGTCTTTAAACTCTTCAAAGTAGACGGCGCCGCCGATGACGGAGAACGTGATGAAAAAGCACTGGAAGACCGGCACGATGTACAACGCGTCAAAGTACTTGAGCCCGAGCGAGAGGCAGTGCGTTTGCAGTGAGATCGTGAGGACGAGAGCCGCGATAATGACATAAGTGAGGAACTTGTCAAACTGGTTGTCGCCCTTGACCGATTGCTTGATGAGCTCGCCCGTACTCTTGGCAAACATGACGGACTGCGCGCCAAACGTGCCGGCCAACCCTGCGTACGACAGTGGATGGATCTTGAGCACAGTTTTGTACTCGTTCGAGGTCGGTCCTTTCTTCTTGAGGACTGCCTCGGCCTTCTTCAGCATCCCGATCAAGACCCACAGGACCACGAGCAGCACGAGGAGGTAGATGAGCATGTCCCAGCGGTAGTACAAGTGAATGAGGATGTCGAGGGTGTACTCGGTGTTCTCATGCGCGCCAAACACGGTCACGAGGACAGCGCCGATGCAGATCAGGATCGTGCCGATCAGGTCGTTGCGTGTGAGTTTTTCCTTGAGCCAGTAGTGGGCAAAGAAGATGTTGCATACCAGCGTGAATGCACCGATCGGCATGATGATGCTCTGTCGCGTTGCAAGTGAGTGGACGACGGGCACGTAAAAACGGGCAAACCTGCGCGGCAAACGACAGCGCGGCGAAATCCGCGACGGACCCGATCCCGACGCCGAGGAACCCAAGCCACCATCGCCATTGCGTGTTGTACGGCTTGCGCTCGTGGTCTGGAAGATGCTGCTGCAGCATGAACGAGTACTTTTGGATGTTGAGTCCCTACTCAGACGTGGATGCGATTCGATCGAATGGCGCCGACGAATGTGCAGCACGTACCAAGTTGGAGATGGTGGAACCGAGCAAGCAAATGCCGATCCCGATGAACAAGTTTGACGTGCTCACTTGGGATTCGTCTTTCATCCTGCAAGTACGTCCATGAGGCCCCGAACGCGACGATGGCGGCGTGGTGTACCTGGCGGCAAGTGGTCGCTCCAGACGCACTGGTCGCTTGCAGAGTTTGGTCTGACAATCCGTCGTCTCAAGTTGCAAAAACAAAAAAATACACTCGAATTTTTTGGATATTATCCACCTCGACGCAGTGTTGTGCTGATGGAAACCTCGTTCGGTTTAAAAAAACACAAAGAATTTCGCCTCTCCCGTTTGAACCGACCACATTTTTTTTTGAATGAGAATTCACGGGAATTATTATTGCTGTCCCATGTGCATCTCGGAATTACACACAAAAATGTCAGTTTCGGACCATATACAATGGTTTTGTATCCCTGGAAGCAATCGAATGGACCCCCTTATGACGCCGCGGTGAAAACGTACCCGATTTTGTCGTCGACACAAACCTGTACGGTGGTTGAAACGGACGCGAACCCACGGCAGCGGCAACGGACGGAACACGCCCAGGAATTCAAGCGCGCACCCAGGAGCGACCGCGGCGACGGACGGATCGTCCATTCGAACGCATGAGCACACGCTGGAGAGACTGGCCAGGGGGATCGCAAGGTCTTGCATGATAAATGAATTGTTGAATTGTGGCAGAGAGGAAAGGCACGGAATAGACGAACGTGTGGTTCGCAACGTCGAGCATCCCAACGGTGGCCGAGGCATTCAGTGTCGACGCATTGGATGTTGTGCGTGGTGTTGAGCTAACACTCGGGCTCAAGCCGTCCGTCCGCGACGCCACCATGTCGGTTCGCTTGCATCTCGACATCGTCAACCGAGTTGCAGTTCGACCCGACTGTGGCGCTTCCCCCGCCAATCTACAATACGCCGTTGTAAGCATCTCCATGTCGTGGGACATCACGGCGGCGGTGCCGACAATTGGAACGACCAACGACAGAGGTTTATTATTCCAACGGAGCGCCACCCGTCGTCGGTGCTCGCGTTCTACAACGCCGCCGCCAGTCCCTTGCTGCCACAGGAATCGTAGTTGTGGCACGTCAGCAGCGGTTGCCGTACATCGTTGCGCATGTCCCGCCTCGACAGGACTGCAACGCCGCAGATCGTGATAAACACGCCGAATGGAAAGCACAGCCACTGGACTTGACCAAACGTCGCGAACTCTTCGAAGTAGACGGCGCCGCCCATGACAGAGAACGTGATGTAGAAGCACTAGAAGTAGCATCAGCCACATGAAGGTCAAAGGAGGATCGCGCACGGTGAAGACGGGCACCATGTACAACGCGTCAAAGTTCTTGAGGCCCAGGGACAGCAAGTGCGTCTAGCGGGATGGTTAAGGCGAGGAAAAAGGAAGATGGGCATGGACGAGATGCATGCGGGGAGAGCGCATGAGAGATGTGGGGTACCTGCATGGTGATGGTCATGACGAGGCAGGTCAGGATGACGTAAGTCAAAAACCTGTCGAACTGGTTGAACCCGCGCGCCGTCTGCTTGATGAGCTCGCCCGTGCTTTTGGCAAACATGACAGACTGCGCGCCGAACACTCCCGCGAGACCGGCGTACGACAGCGGATGGATCTGTCGGCATGCCCTGTACTCGGGCGAGAGTTTTCCATGGCGTTGGAGCGCTTCCTCGGACCGCACGAGCGCAATGTACAATGTGCACAGGAGTGCGCAGATCGCACTAAAGTACACGAGCATGTCCCAGCGGTAGTACAGCCGGAGGAGTTCGTCCAACGAGTAGCTCGTGCTCGAGTGGGACCCGAACACGGTCACCATGACCGCGCCAATGCAAATGAGGATCGTCCCGAACAAGTCGTTGTGACTGAGGCGTTCGCGAAGCCAGTAATGCGCAAAGAAGATGTTGGCGACCAGAGTAAATGCGCCGACGGGGGCAATGATGCTCTGCTCGACCAACGCATGAGCAACGTCGCCACGTGATGATACAACATACCTGAGCAGCATACGTGAGGGCGGCAAAATCGGCGATGGACCCGACCGCAATGCCAAACAGACCAAGCCACCACCGCCACTGGGTGTTGTACGGCTTGCGTTCATGCTCAGGCAATCGCTCCTGCACGATGAACGAGTACTTTTGAATGTTTAAGCCCTGGACGACAGACACACATGAGACAACAGCGCCTACTGTAGCATGCATACGCACGAAGTTGGAGATGGTTGTGCCGACCAAGCACATGGCGATTCCCGTCATCAAGTCATATTCCTGGCCCGCGTGGACTGCGCTGATGCTGGGGCTCATGTCGGCGTCCAGCCTTCTTGTGTGACTCCACCGGCGCCAGCTCGTCGCCGAATCTGGCGAATCTCTTGCATGGCCCGACGTGGGTGGATTGACATGCATACAAAAATCAAGTATACATTTTGCATGCACGCACGACGATGGGCAGAATGGCCATCACATTCGCACTACAGAGCGTTTTGCACAAGTCCAAGGGGAATCCGCCGCTGATGGAAGTGCCTTCTGCACTATATTTCGCACAGATCACGCCTTCGAATGCGCGACAAGCTTCGACACTTGTCGATAAGCCACGAAGTACTCGCCGAGTGTTGCGTCACATGATCGTGAATTATCGCGTGTCAGCATGGACTTCCCGTCGCTCAAAAGACACCTCGTTGAGGGTGGAAGGCGGAAGAAGCAACTGCGAGGGCATGCAGCCGGCGCAGGATCGAATCCACCTTGCGAAGCTCCCACCGAGCCCGGCAGTGGCTCGGCGCAGAAATGGCCGTCGATGTGGATGTGGTCCTTCGACCCGATGTACGTGTCGTCGAAACCCGAACACACGACATCGTCGCGTGAAAGCAGCCAATCGTAGCAAGTAGTATCGGCCATTTCATATGATTTCGACCAATCAAAATGAATTGAGGCCGGCACATCGACTCGCACGACAGCAGTCGACACACCCTCGCACACACGACAGGTGCCGCCGCGCCGTCCATTCGAAGCGCCTTTGCGAGATCGCTGCGGCAAGGACAAGGAGCACGCACCTTCGCAGTCCATGCACTTGCCAGTAGCTATATTTAGCTCCACTCCCGGCCCCAGCCGACAAGGTTGTCGCCTTCTGAGTGCCACGACCGCCCCGGACCATGGTGTACGATCTATCCAGCGGCGGGATGCAGCTGTGTGGGTGCGCAGTTGGGCGTCCGTGCACATGCGGCTATAGCGTTCGTCGAGTCGCCGAGGAATCTGTGGTCGCTGTCCCCGACGATGACAAGTGGATCGAGGTCGCGCCGGGGGTGGTGTTGCGGTTGAGAAAGGAATACGAGTGAGAGTTTCATCCACGTGGGCATCCGTTGCTATGGTGTTTGAACGTAGGAACGTACCAGGCACACGCAACTTTCGACGCATGCACCAGTACCGCATGTCCTTGGCCGATGCCATCGCCGAATACAGCGCTGCAATTGCAGCCGCGAACGCCCACAAGAAGGTCGTGTCGCTCGAGCTGGTCGAAGTCGCTAGCCGCCGGAAACGGCTCGACGAAGGGTTCAAAGTCGGCACGACCGACGCTCGATCTCATCGCGGGATGTGTAGACGATTCCCGCCTTCCGCTGGCGGGAAAGCGCTCTCGAAAAAGGAGCTCCAGGACGTTCAGCAAATGATGTCGGCATATTCGGACTTGACGACCCACTTGAATGGCCGACCGCCTGGGTTTGTTGCGAGCACCATTCCCGTCGCTGTCCACGTCCTTGGGCCCCACTTGGACCTCCTGCACGCCCAACTCTCGGCCACCATTCAAAACGCGAAAGCGAACATTCAGGTACCTGCCCCTCCAGTCGTCCGATGGGCCCACAACGACCTTTGCATGGGCTGCAGGGGTGCAAAGCATTCGTGTATGCCATGGCTGCTACGCGAATACAAGCAATCGCCCGAGGACGGCAGCTGCGCATTCTCCACGCGAGAACTCTCGTCACGATGTGGTTTCGTGGCGAGTTTGCCGCTGCGGTGACATTGCAATGCTTTACGAGAAGAAATCGAGCAAGGCAGTACGTGGCAGAACGCCGGCGGCGGCGCCACCAATGCGTTTGCAAGATCGCGTCCATTCACGTGCAGCGCACGGTCCGTGGATTCCTCGGGCGCAGAGCAGCCGCGGCAAAGCGATTGTCGCTGCGCCAAGTGAAAGAAGCCAAAGCCGTCGTGACGTTGCTGTGCTGGGTGCGATGCCTTGCCGCGTTTCGACAGGCCAAAGTCCAGAAGGACCTGCGCGACGCCGACCGGCGGCGCATCCGACGACAGGTGCGCAAACTCGCCGCGCTTGCACTGACATGCTTGCGAATATGCGACAGGAGGCGGCTGTGGACGTCCAACGAGTGTTTCGAGGCCACTGCGGCCGCGTCAAGGCACGGCAGAGGAAGATCGAGAGCAACTTGAGCGAGCCTGTGCGCCAACTCGTCTCGGAGCTTCAAACGACGGGAGACCTCTGGGCGTTCGTGCAAGCTGTGGACAACGAGTACCGGCACTTTGACCGGGAGCGCCGGGACGAAGAAGAAAATGCGTCGACGTTTGTAAACACGGTCCTTCGGGAACGCATGCTGCACCAAGAGCGTTCGCTGTTGGTATGACGAGGAGGATCCACTGGTGGTGGTCGATGATCTTACCAACGTCTTGCATGGCTGACGTGCGGATTGGAATGTCGTAGGCATGGCATGCATCGCGGGCGATGGCATCGCCAGTCGTTGCTCACCAACGTCGCCTTGATTCGGCCTACGAGTCGCCACTGCCGTCGGTGACGTCGTCGGCCTCGGTGAGCTCGCCGCATGGGACGATCAGCAACTCGAGCGGCAGCATGAACAGCGGAGGGGTCGTCGCACCGCATTCGCTCTTTGAGATGGCGTCGGAGGATGCGATCCATCTCCATCAAATAGCCCCCGAGACGATCGATCTCCCGGACAAATACCCTCCGCACGTCATTCGCCACGCGATGGCTCAAGGCTACGCTGTTGAGGAGGTTGTCGCCGCGTTGTAAGCTATCGACGGCATTGCGCGAGTGCCGATGCATTACACGGTATTGTAGACGCGGACTCGAAGCCCAGGGTAAAACGACGCGCAATGTCAAGTTGGTGCTGCGCGAACTGAAACGACGCACGCCCCTCATGCTGAACGCGCTCAAATCCGAGCGTGTGGTGCGGCAATCGAGGCAAAAGAGCCCTCCAAAGCATGTCCCTCCGCCGTCTGTCGTGCTAGACAGCGCTGCGTTGTCCCATCCGCCGTCGAGCGATGGCCTGGCCGTGGTCGACGATAAAATGGTCGCTACCTTCTTGGCGCAGATGCTACCCGACGGAGTAAACGAACCCATGGGAAAAGTGATATTTGCCGCCGCGATGCTGGCATTTGTGCCTCCCCTTGTGGATGTGGATGGCGCTTCCTCCGTGGTCCTTGCCGATCCGTGGACATCATCGCCCAATTCGCACTTTGCAGCGTACGTCAAGGCGCCGTCCGCGCTGCTGCAGGTACATCAACCCCCTGCCTCCAACCGCTTCTAGACGTTGTCTTGGACCAGATTCGACGGGAGCAACTTGTCACGGCGGCAATTGCGCCGTACGAGCAGGTGCTGAAGAAGAACGAGATCGTTCATGGAGGAGACTTGGATCGGTACGCGAATACACTGCGCCAACTCCAGACGTGGAATGTCCCCGGCGGCCTCGCTCAGTGCATTGTGTTGGTCCTCAAAAACTGCCGACGACGGCAGCACCACATTGATTCGCGCCACGTCCGCCGCCAACAGAGCGCTGCTACCGTCCCACCAAGTCGTGTCAAGTCGGCGGCGCGAGCGATTGCTTCCCCGATGACCATGCGCAGCTCAACCGCCGACACCATCCTGTACGATTTGACGTCACGAGGGGCAACCCCCGCTTCGTCGCCCGACGACGACCCGCCATCCCATGGAATGAGCGAGATCCAGTGCCAGTTCCTCGACATGAAAGCCCGCATCGAAGCCACGGCATTGACGCCGGTCGAAATGGACAGTTCCCTCTTCGACTTGTTTTTCCAAGCGCTGTTCGTAGTCTTGCCGCTGGACGAAGCCACGACACAAACTCCAACGTCCGAGGCCATGAATCCCTGCCACTTGGACTCGTTCGTGTACCAACTGCTCGACCCGGCGCTCACCATGCACGCCTCCCACCGACTCCTGAAGCGCCGCAGCCAACGGACGGCCACGATGGCGCGCGCATATAGCAACGCTTTCAAAGCGGCCAACTGCCACTGTGTCAAGGACATCGTACGACGGGCACTGCATGGGACGATGACGTCTCTGAGTGACACTGTCGTAGGTGCATCGGTCGCTCGACGCCTTTCACGTACCGGACGTGCTGGCGGAGCAAGTGCGCGCGTGCATCGGCAAGGTGCTGTTTCCGGTAAGTCGATACACGATTCAGCATTATCGTCTACCTGGACACACTCGACGGACGGGCCATTCGTAGCCGAGCAGCCGCGACGTCGATCCGCGTCGCGTCAAATCGCCGAAACAACTCGCTCCGCTGGCTCGGTTGGATTCGCCGCTGCTTCGGTCCCGTGGTAAATTGCCACGTGGAGACGACCTTTCGGTCATTCCCGACCTCGTCGACGACGACATTCTGTGGCAAGTTACAGAAACGCGTCCATCGCAGCTTCAAACGCTGCGTCCATGATGTATAGCCGCATGAGGTCGAACTCGATCGAGCTGGCGTCGGCCGCATCTTCTGGACCATCCGATGTGGTGTCGAACGTCATGGTGAGGACATGGCCGCTTGGAGGAGGCGATGGTTTCAGCTCTCGACGCGACTTTTCCAGGCTCGCTTGTGTTGCGGCAAGGTGTTTCAGCCGCCGCCACTGGCCTTGTAGCAACGGCTGCAGGCTGCTCAAGTCTAGCACGCGAGTCGCCTACCGCCGGCTGTCGTCAGGATGAAATAAGCAAAGTGATGCCGTTTGGAGGCAAATACAGCCTGGAATGTACCTTGTCTCGAAGAAGGAGGAAGCGCAAGAGACTAAGGGCGCTGGCAATAGCATCACTATGGCGGACGAATTCTTGGTCTGGACGCGCACGAAGCATGGTTGTCAGAAACGGGACGAGCTTCGCATGCAAGCTCGAGGCAGCTACAGATGTCGCGTGAAATGGCCGTGTCAAGAAGATGCAGTAGCTCTCACAAGGTTCTCCCCACTGCTTGGCGATGTCTCCACGTATACGGTCGACGACGATCGCGACGCAATTCGGAAACGGGCACGTGCGGGCCAGCTCAGCAAGTACGTCAAACCTAACAAAGTTCAGGGTCCTTTCGAATGGAAAAGATGTCCACAATGGATGTCGTGCCTCGTCGCTGGCGAGACACAATCCACGAGGAGCTGCCACGCAGCGAGACCGTGCGCTCTGTCAGGCGCGTTTGGGAGGACGACCAGGGCGGTGAGGACGCCTCGGAGAAGCGGCGTCACAGATTGCAGACGGTCGGTCAATCGAACTAGGCCAAACCATGAGTTGCATGTCGTGTCCAAGAGTTCATCTGCACTTACGCCTTGCAAACGTATCGAGGCCGCACACTTTTTCCGTTGGAGAAGCTTCCACAGAAGCGTCGATAAGCGCCAAGGGATTAGGGTGGTGCATGATGGCTGTTGTGAGGGTGATCGCGCCGCGTTTTGCTGCGAGAGAGGGGTGGTTTACCAAGGTTTCAATGTAAGGAGCCAGGGGCTGGATCGCAAAGACGTCGAAAGAAACGGTTGTGGCCCCGACGCTGCGGAGCGAAGGGGCAAGTGCGAGCCAATACGCCATGACGGCCAGACCAGTGTCGGGCCATGACGGCTCGCCGAGGTATTTTAAACCGAACGGGTCGGGAAGAACGGCCGATAGCATCTGGTTTGTGTCGCGGATCACGTCTGCGCGAATGTCGTGTTCTTCATCGCAGTCTTCATCCAACTCGTCGTCGAATGAAGTGTCCATGGAGGCATTAGGAAGTATGGCATTCATCCATTCAGATCGATAGACCTTCCACCGGGCAAAGAGGACAAGGTGGTCGAACGGAATGCAGCAACGTCCGAGCGAAGCAACGGCCATCTCCACGAGAGCAGGGGGAGGAAGAGATGAACCCATCAAACGCTCCATGTTCGTGCCGAGGATTGCGAGAATGCATCCCACAATGCTTTTAGATTGCCGTAAAATGGAGGGAGATGCATTGCCGGGGAATTGCACCTTCAGGAGGAGATCCTGAATGAGGTCGAGGACAAATTCGTCATGGGCTGGACTCTTCGGCTGAGTTTTTCGCAGTAGCATGGATAGCGCATCTTCCAAGAAGGGAGCTCGCTTGTCGTGGGGGAACCCAGCGAGGACTAATGCAAGTGATACCAATTGGCTACACCGTCATGAATACTCACTTGTTGCTTGCGTTGCAAGCAAGCGACGGAATCTCGACGTTGTCTCGCTGCACACTTCCTCCTCCACACGGATTCGTTCAATGACTTCCATGAAGACATGCTTCAGCCCCATGCCTTCCATGTCGCTCAGAGAAACAGTATCTCCATCGACAATTCGCCCCAACAGCTCGTCCATCTTCGTCGAACTCTTCAAATCGGACAATTTATCCGGAATGGTTTGCTCCGGATAATTCCTCGCCCGAATCCGATGACAACTGCGGTCGCAACATGCGGCGACGTCACGGGGCAAGGCGAAGTGGCCTTGCGCACCAGGGAATCTTGGATGCGGACTTACCCCGGGATTCCAATCTACGTGCATGATGTGGGTACACGTTGCGCGCAATCCATGGCGTTTTATGCATCCCTGTGCAGGTATGGCTGGACGTCGTGGTTCGAAGAGGAATGCAGAAGTGGCGCGTCGTGACGGTGTCGACGTCTTCCACCCAAACGTGCTTTGTCCTCGTGGGTATCCTCTCTCTCCAAGCATTGACTGCCCGTGCTCCACTTTCCCGCCGTGAGGGAGACGCCAACTCGAACGATCTAGACTACAACTCGTCAACGTGGATGGCGGTGCATTGCCTTGCCGACCTGTCTCCCTTCGACATGCGAGAGTAAGGCACCAAACATTCTTTCACTTTTGCAGTCTAAGTTGCTATCTTGCGTGCGCCTTGGCTAATCCATCCCTTCTCTTCACGCCTCCTTAAACGTGCGTCTGTGTAGAGTGGCTCTCCTTCGATCGCAACTTGCACAAATGACCGGCCCATCGCCGCCACCACCGCCGCGGAACCTCGTCCTCGCTATGACGACGCAGTCACCGCCGAGCATCAGCTACTATACAATGCAGGATTGCCTTGCCGTGTAGATCACTCCAGTGTGTCGTAGAACCCCTATGTTAGCCCCCCGTGGAGGAGTTCACGGGAGTTGCATGCTTTAAACACGGGGCAGTACGCGAAGGATTGCATCAACTTACCTTGCGACAGTGTTGCTCACGAAAAAAAGTCCCGGGAGTGCAAACCTACCAAGAAGGCCGTGGACGCAGCGGCCTCGAATGGACGTCGTCAATCTTGCATGAAACTCGCATGAGACTTCATCAAGACTTGTCGGTTGTAGCGGTCTTCGTAAGCGCTTTGTTGACGACTCGTTAATTACAGTACTTTGCATCGCAGTCCCGACCATGGCCGCGGTACGCCAGGATGACCAGCCTTTCGAAACCATACACGTACCAAGCGAGGAGGCGATGGCGAACGAACGGCGGGTGTTTACGACAGATCTTTAGGAACGAAGCGCGGCCTCACTGAAGGATGAAACGCTAGTTGAAGCGTGGGAACGATTCCATTGCTACTGTTGGTCACCTTGAACCTTTCCATTCCATGTTGGCCTGCATTGATTCGGTGCATGAAGATGCCTGGCAGGTCAGGGTGCCGTG